CTGGTGCCCAAGCAGCAGCAGCAGCAGCAGATGGAAAACCCTAGGGTGATCGGGACATCGGCCTGGCCCATCATCTTTGGTGGGGCCATCAGGGTTCCACGGGCTGAACAGGCATGCGCGGGCCAGGCCCTGACATTCCAGGGTCTGGCGGTGAGCGGGGCCAGGGCGCAGGGGCTCTGAGCGGAAGCAGGAGGAGGAGACGGCTTCAGGAGAGTGAAGGGGCAGCAGTGGCTTCTAACATCCAGGATCCTGACCCCGGCTTGGGGCTGCCAGCAGCGGCTGGAAGAGAAAGCAGAAAAGAGGACTGTGGTGGGGAGTCTCGGACTCGGGCTGCTGGGGGCAGTGACAATCCCGGGCTTTGGGCCCTGAAACAGGCCTCGGCCTTGCTCTCAGGCAACTGCTCTCTGTACCTGTCTGTCTGCCACCTGCCAGTGTGTCCAGGGGAGCAGGGAGCCAGGGGTCTGGGCACATTCTTCCCAATCTATGCATGGGTGGGAGCAGCTGGCAGCCCCATCCAGGATCGTAGGCCACATGGTTCTCGGTCGTGCCCAGCTCGACAGACAGACTGGCATGGGCCCCAGGGCTCTGGGCCTGCCTGCACACCCCATGGTGGCCATAGAGATCATTCCCACTCTGGGCCTCTCTGACCTCACCCCTCCCCAACCCCATCTTTCAGGGAAGGATCTGTAAACCCAGCCAGAGGGGATGCAGGACAGGGAAGCAGAGGAGAAAGGTCATTCCAGCCATCCCACAGCCTCCCTGTAGCCCCACCCTCTGAACCTCAGCCCATGTGGGTGCGGAGACCCCTCCCATCTCTACCTCCTCACAGCAGGAGTGACTGGTTCTTTGGGGGATGAGGGTGGGGTCAGACCTCAGTCTCTGGCTGTGACTTTGACATCCAACTGCCTCCTCTCTGCCTCCACCCACCCTGCTGCCAGTCACAGGGCCCCTCAAGTGCTCCCTTCAGCTGCTCACCTGAGCTCCTGCCAGGAAGCTTCCCTCCCTTCTACCTGCTCCCACATTCATTTGCACACACATTCACTTTCATTTGGAAACAGGAGACGGAGAAAAGAGGATCCAGGCAACGCCTGTGCTAAGGCTCCTGAGCTGCCATTTAGCCTGTAAGTCCCAGGCACAACAGGACTAAC